ACGCAACAGCTACAAACATTCGAGTGCTTAAAAAAAAAATTACTGATTCTGCCATGTAGGTATTTGCATGAAAACAAACCAATTAAGTTTATATATGACTAAATGAATGCAAACCCATGCAAATAATAATACAAAAAAAAATGCATAAGTATGAAGGTATTTAAATATCTGCAAATTTTCACAGTTGCCCTCCTTTTTTTGGCACGATTATTCCAGTACTTTTTAGGTTTTTATTTTCTACATCGTTTCGATGTCATCTCGTTTAGCCGCATGCATATTTACTTTCAATAAAATTAACCACAATTGGCGACCAGCGTTTTTGTGACTCTTCGCTTGTGTAGGTGTTTATATGCGTGCACGTGTGTATGTGATAGCGCCGGCGCGTCATCGCAAAAAAAATTGCATAATATCTTTTATAATATTTGTGTAATCACTTGTTTATAAACCGCCTACAAAAAGACTTCGAGTTGTTTTTCAGGTAGTTTGTTACTCGATCTTGCGATACCACATTCACTCGACACATACTACAAAATATCTTTGACTGCGCATACAACTACTCCTCATTTGCATCTCTTCCTCTTCTTTTGCATAGACATATGTAAGCCTCTCTTTGTTGCACTTTCCATTTCATATATGTAACGGGTGATTTTTTTGAGGTTAGGATTTTCATGCATTAGTATTTGACAGATCACGTGGGATTTCAGACATGGTGTCAAAGAGAAAGATGCTCAGTATGCTTTGACATTTCATCATGAATAGACTTACTAACGAGCAACGCTTGCAAATCATTGAATTTTATTACCAAAATCAGTGTTCGGTTCGAAATGTGTTTCGCGATCCCAATTGCTGCGAACGGCGACGAATCGACATTTCACGGTCTTCAGCAACACTCTCAGAAACAGACGCAATATTCTCTTCTGTACGCACTGTACGCATTCGTGTGGTTGGTTTAATGTCCAATAAAGTAAACTGAGTGCGAAACTTGGTCACAATCGCATTAATTGTTTGCTCACTTGGTCGATTATGTAGACCATAAATCGGACGTAAAGCGAACCGAACACTGATTTTGGTAATAAAATTCAATGATTTGCAAGCGTTGCTCGTTAGTAAGTCTATTCATGATGAAATGTCAAAGCATACTGAGCATCTTTCTCTTTGACACCATGTCTGAAATCCCACGTGATCTGTCAAATACTAATGCATGAAAATCCTAACCTCAAAAAAATCACCCGTTAGCTCCTTACTTTTTCGCTTTCATTTTCCGGTTTTGTTGACATAGGTCGCTTTTTGTGGCGGTTGCGCTATTTGCAGACAGCGATGGTCGCTTCAGCACACAAACGTCGAGTATTTGTTTTACTTTATAACTGCTTTGTTACTAGTTCATTAGTTGGTGTGAGAAATATGTTAGTTTTTTCAATGCTAAATTAAAAATTTAAATTCGAATTCATGTCGTTTTTTCAGTTATTTTTACTTTTGTCTTTTTTTATTTATTTATTTTTTTTTTTCAATATTAGGTAGCCGTCAAGGTCGTGCGTGCCCATTATTATGTTTTATTTTTTTTGTTGTTTTTATACAACATATTTTTATACTCTATTCTGCTCTTTTCGGTTGGCCATACATATGTATGTACATATATTTGATTAGCGCATATTTATTTTGACTGGTATTGCCTTATATGTATGTTTGTATGTATGTGTGTTTGTCCAACAAGTGTTAATGACTTTTATGATTGATTTTCATATGTGATTCCATGATTTACTTTACAGTGGAATGTGCATAGTGGGTATGATGTATGTATTTGACCACACAAAGTTATGTTAGTACGTGACTTTCATGTGTACAGTTAGCTAAAATCGAATACCTTAGGAGCATGCCAAAAAATTTAGATTTTGGGAAATATTAAAATGTTGACTCAATATTTTAAGCGATAAGTTTTTTATTAGATAGTATATATTTAAAAATCTTTTTGAATATATGCACATGTATGCGTGTAAGCTTCAACAAAAGTTTTTCATAAAATACTGCATAAACCAAATCGCGAAAAGTCGATATAATATCCCAAAAAGTCAATAGCAGTCCCGAAAAACGGAACATTCAAAAAAAGCGCCAAATTTCATGAAACAAATTCGTTAAAAGTCTCGAAACCAATTTCAACAAAAATTCTAAAAAAAATAAAAAATACTGAGCCGAAAATTTTAAAATCTGTCAAAAAAACAACAACCACAATAACCACATGATCAAGTCTAAATAGTAGCAGAATAGTTGGCACTTGATTGTGGTTGGGTTGATATATGAAGAAGTGGTAAAACGCAACAATAGTTAAAAGGCGAACTTAGCTCGGTGGGCAGACCATTGATTTTGTAATTTGGAGCCGCTGCATCGAATCCCAGTTAACTTGATGAAGAAGTCTGATGGGGAGGTTTGGCGATCTCCGAATAGCAGAAGTTATTCCACCATTTATAAACTGTTGTTGTTGTTGTTTTTTTTTTTCTTGCCGCGGCGGCAATAGCATGACTCAAAACCAGTAAAAAAGAAAAAAATTCATAAAGTATTTAAAAAAATAAATAAGTTAAAATAAGACCAAGCTGATTTTTAATTGTTTTACTTCTGATCCAAAAAAAACTCATTTCGCTTTGCTCTTTTCTAAATGAAAGCTAACTTGGCTGTTATAGCTTTATTGTAATTTTTGGTTACTGTTTGAAAATTATGTCAAATAAACCGCTTTATCCGGTGTTTTCTTGATATCAAAAATTGGCATCCATTTTTTCTAATTGCAATTTTTCGAATAACTCGAAACCCGGTTCTCGAAAAAGGCGAATAATCGAACACACTACTAACCACTAAAGCAAATTAACGCACAATCGATGTTTGCAATAACTTCATACATTAAATGAGATGATCGAGGAAAACTGCGCTGCTGAAAGTGAGGCACAGAGTGAAAAGTGGAGCATAATTTATTTTGAAAATTTGTTACTTTACAAATTACAAAAATAAGTGGTAATGTAAGTTATAATACTGTTTACTCTGATGCTTCTCCTCTGTTTCAGTCATGGAGCATAAATAAGCCAAATAAAATTTTCGTTGCAAAATTGGATAACACTAACGTTCTGTGTTGACCCCAATTTCTTGCTTTTTAAATTGTAAAAGTATATGTATTACTTAATATTATTACTAAGTTGCTTAGTATTATTACTGTATTACTTTTAATTTTTTTGAGATGGAAGAGTCTACTGGGGAAGATGAAAAGAAAGCAGTTTCATTCTGTCTTCAATGTTTGATGAAGAAGTCGAGCCATTTAAGAACTTAAGTTTTTGGCTGATGTTGGATCCGAGCACGAAGATGATGACTTCATTTGACCTAAAACGTATGTGTTCCTTTCGTCTTCGTTCAATGTCTGGTTATCACTAACTACCCTGCTAAACATCATTAACGACGTTTTCGACATCACGCATACATATAACATGTGATCGATAAAGCATTCGCTGTATTTAACCGGAGCTTCTACCTCCGATTTGCGCTTTAGGTCAAATTAAGAGCAGCAATTTTGGCAACAGAGCGACGCTATCATTGAACATTTGCACACTTAGGGCCGTTTTGTCGACAGCCTGCTAAAAATTGACGACTGGTCTGCTTTATCGACTTTTTATCGATTGCCTGCTATATGCATGGGAGCGACAAATTTGACAGGTAGTCAAAGCCCCGGTATCTTTAACAGTCCCTTAGGATCATTTTAACCCATCTCTATTTAACAGTAATCGTCCGTTATACATGGTTGTCGATGGTACCGACTCAATATTCTAAGAAAGGGGTTGGGTTCGTCGATAACGATGTTAGTGTTAAACCGATATGGTAAAAATGGTCCTTCTCAAACAATAAACTTTGTGATGTTAGAACCCATCTGGGACTTACCTGTCATCACAGATATTAATTCTGACTTTGCAATTTATAAGTAAATTCTTCTGTGAAGCGTTATACAAGGTCAGCATTAGTATCACCGATGACAGTTAAGTCTTAGGTGAATTTTTATATCAGCATCTCATTTTTGAGAAAAGTGCAGATAGCGGGATACACGGTATCCTCTCTCCAACCGTAACTTCCTACTTTCATACACTTAAACACAAATCCAGTGCACAAAAGTTACTATTGGAAAAAATAACAATCGCTTTTTATAGCAAAGAGTTAATAGTTATTGAATTTAGCAGAAAAGTGAAAGAAACAAATTGATTGGCGTTCGCATACTTTTCACAAAGTCGTTTAACAAAAACCCCATATCCAAATGAACAGCAGTAGTCCAAACGCTATAACAATGCAAATTAAAAAAATGTTTGCTTCCTGCAGTGCAAATTAATGCCGAATGAACATTAAGTTTGCTACATACATACATACATACATCGATTGTATGCTTAAACAAAATTTATACAGACTCCAGTAAATCAAACATTTCCTTCTTTTACCATGCAACAAAAGCACCAAAAGCACCAACAAAGCTGACACATTTGCCCAAATAACCGCCAACAAAGCAACTACGCCTAAAAAACCATCCAGCCAAAAAAAAAAAAAAACTCTTGCATACATACAAAAAAAAAAAATCAATCAAAAAAAAGTCAAAAAAAAGCAAAAAAAAAAAAAACGAAAAACAAGTTTCAAACTGTTGCTATTGTTGCACGCTGCGTTCGAGCACGAGGCAAGTTTGTTGCTTGTTAATGATGCATAACGAATTACTTAAGAGCATTTTCCTCTTACGAGTATTGACTTCTTAGTCAAACGAATGTGTTTTTTTTGCAATTTTTTTGCATTTTACCTCTGCATTGATGGGATTCAAATCGCTGTTGGTTGCAGCCGCACTCTCGGCTTCGAGTGAGAGCAGGTCATCTGGTTGACGTTTGACACGCAAGGCAGGCACCGCCAGACACAGCTGACAAATACCTAGCGCAAGGAGAATACTTAAACTGCATCGCAATGGCTGCATTTTTTTGTTATTTATGTTTTTTTGTTTCGAGATTGTAGGCTATTGCAGGTCGTGGAATTATCTTTTTATCTTGTCGTTGCTGTGTACGTGGCGGGTGGAGAAGGTCTGAAAGAAAAAAAGAAACAATTTTTTTAAATACTTCAAAAATGTTAATGTGTAGTTACATTAGGGCGGATTGATTTCATTTCAAACAAAGTGTATGGCTTACACGAATTCTACGTTTGATTCTAAGCAAATATGGTGAACAAACTATGTATCGAAAATGACGTTTAACCCTCCCAATTTTTAAAGGAAAAATCAGTGTACTATAATTTTTTTTTAATGAAATTAATTTTTCTTTTACAAAATTTTGTGTTTAATTCATACTTTTTCTTTTGAAAATTGGGAAAGTAAAACGTCATTTTCGGTATATTTTGTTCGCCATTTTTGCTTAGAATTAATCGTAGAATTTGAATTTGATATACACTTTCTTTAAAAATTTTGCTCCAAACAAATTACTCCGCCCTAGTGTACATACGGGTTATAAGTATATTGAACTAATTTTTTATATATGTAAATATGTATGTAGAAATAAAAGCATCATAACTATATGACCCCCACATATTGGCATGTTTCGACCATTTAATTTTTCATTATTCATTATAACAAAAACCATATATGAGGACATACGGGTCAGAGGAGCCTATCTGCAAAAAAAAAAAATAAAGAAGGATCTTTAAAAGATAAATGCGGTATTTCCGTAAAATTTCGATGAACTTCGATTTCCCAAACAGAGGTCTAACATATCGCCAAAAATTTTAAAATTTTCTTTTTGATGCAGAAATGTTCTTAGAGCTTCTAGATGCCTTTCAGCATTAAAAATCAACTTTTGGAAATTAAATGTCATTTACGTCTTTTTGGCGGTTATAAGGGCTTATAAATATATTTGTATGCTCTCTGGGTTACTAGCCTTTGTGTGCTGACGAGTTTGGATACAGATATCAGTGTATCACTTGGTATTCCTCTGCAAAAATGTAAAACTTGTTTGAAATTAAAAATTCATACGAATTGCAATAAAAAATGCCCAATGAAACCCACTTGTAAAATTTCCATAACCCTCGCGCCATCTATGAATGCTCAAATTTTCTACTAAGTAAGTCTGAGGAGCCAAGTGCGAGTTATACAAGCTGCTAGACCGGAAAGACTGTAGCAGCAGTAGTTTTGGTTGAATAATAGCCGAAGATCATCCAACACCGGCTCCTCAAGAACTCCTTTCCATATTTATGTATGAGAATAAGTGAAGACCAAATCCGGTATAACCAACGATTACGAGTCCAAGGTAAGCACCACGACACCTAAGCCAACCTAATAATATAAAGGAAGCTGTAGTCTAATTCATGGAAATCAAACACGCTCTTCCATGAAAGGTGCATAAAATAGGGTATTTTCAATTTTCCGCAAATTCTTCTACAGACAATTAGGGAGATCAAAAGGAGTTGTGTACTGTAGTATAGTTGAGAGACTAGGGTTTAACGTAAGAAACCAACAGTTTAACGTCCAAATTTTAAAAGATTATAATAAAAAAAAAAAAAACATCAATTATTACAAAATAGGTATCAATCTAAAAGGTTTTGAACAGCTTTGCTTCTTAACTTAACTCTAGGAGGGTTAAATAAACCAAATTCAATTCAAATTAAGGGTATTAGGTAATGGAAATATGTGTCCCCATATGGGCATCAGACGAAACACTTTAAGAAGTTGGTAGTTGTAAATATTTTGAAAAGGGTTTCCACCTGTTTGAAAAGTCTAATTCAGTTTACTTATATGCAACTTAATTGAAACTTCAACTATTTCATAAGTGGGTTGATTTATTAAAAAAAAATTATTATTGGAAATGGGTTTGATTTCTGGAATATATTTATGACGGTTGCCACCTGTTTAAAATTTTCATTTCAACTTATATTAACGTATTAGGTAATTGTAATATGCATCACAATTTGGGTATAAGGCGAAAGAGATTGAAGATGATTTTGCTTCGAAAATATTTTGAAAAAGGTATGAAATGTCGAATTTATTAACTTATACACAAAGTATATTAATTATTAAAATATTGCTGTTAAACGAGAAAGTTTAGTTTGATTACTAAAAATATTTTTTAAGTGAATAGGGTTACCAACTCTTTAAAATTTCGAATTATTTAAAGTGTTAAATGAATTATTAAAATATGGGTTTTAATCGAAATGGGTTTGAAAAAAAGGCTTTATTTCGGAACTATATAAGGGGCTTCCACATGTTAAAGAATTAAATCCAATTAAATTCATCAGTCAATTAAATATTTATCACAATGTCAGGCGAAGGCAATTAAGAAAGGTTTTAGCTTTAGAATACTTTAGAAGAGGGTTGCCACCTGTTTGAGAAGTCGAATTTAATTAACTTCTATACAAGTTATATAACGAAAGTGTGTTAAGAGATATTTAGTTTGAGAATTTATAATATTTGAAGAGGGTTGCCATCTGCTTAAATAGCAAAGACAATATCTTTGATTAGGCTTGCCACCTTTTCGAAAATTTTTACCGATCTAACAATTATATATTTAACACAAGAATAATTTTTTGTGAAAATCATTTGCACGGTTCTTTCGAATTTCAAATATGAGGGGTCAAAGTCAACACCAAGGTGATGTAGATGTGCGATAAGGTGTATTTTTTGAAGTTGGACCTTTTTTATGGTTTGATGGTGATTTAAAATTTGTTGATATTAAAGCGTGGACAATGCCACCCCCCTTTTCACTTAGAAACGGCTTAGATGAAATATAGCGCTCGGATCGCTTATGATTCTGGTTAATATTTGGAATTGTTGCTAGGTTTTTCAATTAAAATTTTTTCCGTTTTATCGACATGCGGGCTCACTAGTTTACATAAATAATTCGGCTCTTTCGAACCCAAACAGGTACTTTAAAAACAAAATTATTTACATACGCCCATTACTGATTGATGCTAGCATACATGTGTACTACTATTAATGAACATATTTCTTAACCTGAATTTGTATTCAGATTCTTAGTTCGCACTAAAAATTTATGCTGTAAGCAATTACAATTACCGTACGGCTATCATTAAAATTTTTATGACTGCAATTCCAAGTTATCGTTCAAAGTACGTAAGTTTAAAATAAGGTTCCATTCAAATTAATTTGCTATTCTTAGTGAGCGATCAACGCAAAAAAGCTAAGTTCCGTGTGTGTCCATTGTATGCAGTCCATATACGCGAAAACTACTGACTTAAGCTCAAATAAATTTCATATTTTTTACTGGGGAAGGAGAAAAGAAATATTGCATCTAAAAATATTTCGGTTCAATGCCAATGCCAATTAAAGCCAGCCTGCAGTCAAACTCAGAACTGCAGAAAAAACTCGAGAGGCGTGCAAAGCTACCTAGTATTAAGTAAAATTTTAATTCAAAAACAATTTCGCTCACTTTGAAATACTTTGCTGAAATAAACTTTAAACTGTAATTAACCCTTTGAGTACAAATATTAACCGTTGAAGCTAAAAATCTGTATACCGGCTAACTTTGGTTCATTGATTTCCAAAATACAATCAAAAATTGTGTAAAACTTTGACTTTTACCGTTATATGATCTAAATTATTATTTCTTTTTCTTTCGCGCAATATATTTAAACTATAAATAAAACGTACAAATTGGTTAGAATCTCAATTCCACCTAAAAATATTGAACTCGTTCAGATAGATTGCTTACCATCGAGTTTTGTGACACTTTTTACTTTCGCTAAAAAAAAGCACGGTCAACTGCATACAGAAAATGCGATTAAAAGAAAAATGATATAATATTCTCAAACAAACTTTCTTTGTGCTTAAACAACAAAAGCTGTTATTTAGGAAAAAAAGAGCTTTAAGCACAAAAAAATTTTGTCCAATATATTAGATGCTTGTACTGAAAGGGTTAAGAAATCTGTCATAAATCGAATGGCGATTTCTTTTCTACCGAAAACTTTTGAATTCATAGTGAACTCTAAGCACAAATAGAAAGGAGAGGGCAATGAAAAGCTAACATTTGTTGTAAAAAAATGTCATAACTTACATATGTATGTATGTTGCTAAAATTTTTCAAACATTACAATTCGATTATTTTAGTTAGATATTCCAATAAAAACAGAAAGAAATATTAAAAAATGTTGACGAAATATTTTTGAGCTTTCATCTTACTTGAACGGTACTAAAGTCGATGGTACGGGAAGAACCTCAGTAGAAGACCGACCTATCTCGGCAGCCAGTTCGAATAAGCCCTATCTCAGAAAACTTTTCAAGAACGCCCCATCTCAGCACATTTTCAATACATTTTCATTTGAGATAGGGCGTTTTCGAACCGAATTCTGAATAGGGCAAATTCTGAGCTGGGGTGTTTTTCAACAAAACTCTGAATTAGGGCGTTCTTGAAAGATTTATGAGATAGGGTGCTTTCGAACTGGCTGCCGAAATAGGTTGATCTTTCACTCAGGTGTCGATATAGTATGTGTGTCTTTTTCTTCTTTTCGTTTCATTTTATATAACTTCTTGCAGGGAACTTCGTTTTAAATCTAAGATTTGGTTATTCAAAATCCCTGATAAAAATGTACTTATAAGTAGCACTCAGACTGATGCTCTAGTTTTTCTGCGCACATTTCTCTCTCTCTCTAAATTTCTCTGCACATTCGTTGCCCAACTGTGTAATACATATGTACATATAAAACACTTGATCAGACTACACACCGCTCTAAAATTTATCTTAGCTTCGCCGTTGTTAATAAAAACTCAGCTGCTGCAAAATATTGTAATTAAATAATTAATTTTTACTATCACTACATTCACTAGCTACGCCCAAGCGACAGTATTGAAAAAGTAAAAAAAAAAAAAAATTGTTTACCAAAAATAAGCAAACTCACATTGCTCCCCAAAAGTATCCCGAAAACTTAAGCAACCACATAAAGTAATTAATAACACTTTTTTTTGGCGAAATATTTCAATAAAAGTTACTTAGTACTATACCTACTATATACATATGTACATATATGAGGCAAACAAAGAAAATTGAAAGCAATTGTATGTATTATTTTTTTATGAACTAAACTCGTACCACAAATATCAAAGCACAATCAACTCGTCGGCACAACGGCAACAGCAGCGATACAACAGGACGCACACGATATTAGCACGTTCACTAACTTTAAGCAAATGACTGCAGACGAAAGCAACTTCGGTGATTTAGCAGTGGCCAAAAATCGCTTACAACAGCCCCCAAAACGCAAGCGACAACAACCACAAGCAACAACAACAGCGCACACGTTGAAGGCAAGTTAGTCGGCCAAGAGTCGAAACGGTGCAGCACACTGCTTGATATGTTTATATGTATGTA